GTTTAACATTTACAAAGACAACGGAACGTATCAAAAAAATTCGAATTACATGGAATTGCAAGTGAATTTATTTTGCTTGTGAGAAAGACTATTAAGATACGTGTGCAGCAAATGTGACCGATTAACGATTTGTGACCGGCTCCATATGAGATTGCATGTTTCAGGCTCCGTATGAGATTGCATGTTTCATGCGCGTAGGCTCCATATAAGATTGCATGTTTTATGCGTATAAGATTGCATGTTTTATGCGTATAAGATTGCATGTTTTATGCGTGTTTTCGGTTTTCCGCCATTCAAATACCGACAACCATAAACATATTTAAAGACATTATCCCCCAAGCTCTTTTAACCATTGCAATATTTTGCTCATTTGAAAATCCAAATCGTAAACTCCCCTCAATGCCAACGCCGCCGCCGCCGCCACCAAAAAAGGTTTCATACAAAGGGAGGTCCTCAGCTTCGCAACCTACGAATAACTCGTCAGCTTCGCAACCTACGAATCAGGCATCAACTTCAAACAAAAGGGTTGCAAACCGTATTGGAACGATCGAGCAAGGGTCTTGTCGGAGAGATTGTGGTTACCCATCGAGACCGATCATTTCAGCTCGCGTACGAGCTCCTCGAATGCTTCTCCCTTCTTATACTTTTTCATTCTTATATGATTGCTGTACAGTATGTTGTTAAATGATGCGGAATTATCTTAATGAAGACCACGTGTAACTCAAGTAGACATATTTGGTGGGGATAAGCACGATTTTGCGCCACCGACAGGTCGTCCAACGAGAGTTAAGGCTGATGAGAAAAAAATCATGTGACTGCAAACGTGCGCCATTACTAACGCGTGTAAAATTTTAACGTGTTTTACGAGTCCTCTTTCTTTTCTGTCCAAAAATGTCAACATTCTTCGATGCACCCATGGAAAGTTGGACATATGGCACTGACAACATGAAGCAAGAGTTTTACCCTGGCCACTCAGGTTAGCTATTGTGAACACTGTGGTTCAATTTCTGCTTTGACCCTAAATCCTGATAAAAATTTTTTAGCTCTTGTTGCTTATCTGCAAAAACATGAAATCTGGTCATATAGCGAGTTCTTGACCCTCCATCAAGACATCATTGTTAATGCACTGCCCTTTTCAACTGAGTGGAATGGCCTCAACGGCATCTGGACTAAACGATTTTTGAAAGCGGCAGAAGAGCTCGATTCAAATGCCTTTGAAGATCTGAAGAATAAGGTGCTTTTATCTCATTTTTCTTGAGCCAAGGGCGCTCCTAGTCAGGTGCTGCCCTGACTTAGAGTATCAGGTGCTGCCCTGGCCCAAGTGATGGTTCCTGGTCAGGTGCTGCCCTGGCTCCACCATTGCAACGGCTCATTTTTTTGCTTGCTCAATGTTCATCATTATTTGCAACTTGTATTTCTTTGATATTCTTAATATTGCATGAACTTTCTCAACAGGTGGTATCCGAACGTTCAATCAATAGTTTGAAAGCCTATTGGGAGGAAGTCATCCGCCAGAAGATGGTGCGTTAAGCTATATGCAATAAGTTTTGTTCTTATCACAGTGTTGTTAACCTCCAATCATTACTGCTCTCTTAAACAAGCAACTTGCTAAAGCCACACCCACATCAAAACGGGTATTGAATGAGCAGGAGGACTTGGATGCCAGCGCTGAGGATGAGCGAGAGGAAGGCGAAGACGACGGGGTATAGTATTCTGATCATACCCACTAGTGGTCATAACATAATTATGTTATGACCACTCCACTCGTTTCATATCTGACTTAACTGTTTTTCTGAAATCTACACAGATATCTTATCCCCACCAGGAATTATACTCTGGCCACTCTTGTGAGTGTGAAATCTAAGATGACTTAATATTTATATTTACTATACTTATTATTTGCTCAATGTAGTTCTTGTCCAGTATTTGAAGGAGAGAGCATCATGGTCCTACACAGAATTTCTGACACTCTACCGGGATCGTCTTATTGACGTGGCCCCGTTTGGTGAAGACTGGACAGCTCTGGATAGTATATGGATGCGGCGGTTTCAAAGAGCCTTAAAAGAAATTCATGGTTGTTGTATGTCTAAGGTATGGAGCACATTTAGGGCAGTTCATGAGAGCTGTACTGGCTGTCATCCCGGACCCGAGTGGTGGTGTTGGCGCTCCTGGTCCGCTGTCATCCGGATCCAGGAGTATCCACTGTCATCTGGTGCCTCATCATGCGCGTTAAGGGTGTCCCTGGTCCACTGTCATCTGGACTCAGTGATCTCAGCTTTTATCTGCTGCCCGAGTAAACAGTGCTCTTAATTTATTGTTATCATTGCTTTTTCGTTGGGATAGTGTTGAGCTTGTACACTTCTACAATATAATAATAAATAGAGTTTATGTGTTTATAGGACGACCTAGAAACTACAACAGAGGAAAGGCAGACATTCTGGCAATGCATAATCTTGGAACGAGCTAAGGTAAATCACTTATGTTCCAGAGGTCATTTCTATATGAACATAGCTGACCTTATCAAAATGTTTTCTTGGATAGGAATCAATGAACACAGGTAGAACTAAACAATTTCGGCCTCAATTAAGCTGCTGATTTATTTCTGAAATCTGTCAGAAATGTATGTTAAAACTATTCCGGTCATGCGTTATAGGCCGTCCGGTATTGACAACTCCCGGTTCTATTTCAACCCCTAAAATGACACATTTCGGATAGTTTTATGCTCAACTGACTTATGGATGCCATCTTACTGAAATCAGTATTATACAATCACACATTACACTTTTCAACCTTTTTCCAAATACTCATGCCACCTACATTTCGGACAGAAAATTAGGCGGAAATGTGTTGTTTTGAATTAAAAAGTACTCGTGCCATCCATATATATGTAATATTTCAGCCAGGCACGTTTTCAAAATTAGGCGAAAATGTGTCATTTAGAATTAAAAAGCACTCATGTCATCTATATATATGTAACATTTCGGCCAGGCACGTTTTCGAAATTAGACGGAAATGTGTCGTTTTGAATTAAGAAGTATTCATGCCACATATATATATGTAACATTTCGGACAGAAAATTAGGCGGAATGTGTCATTTGGAATTACGAATTATTTATGTCATCTCTATATATGTAACATTTCAGTCAGGTACGTTTTCGAAATTAGGCAGAAATGTGTCGTTTTGAATTAAAAAGTATTATATTAATATGTAACATTTCAGCCAAGTACGTTTTCCAAATTAGGCAGAAATGTGTCATTTACCCGTAAACTTATATAATAACCTTTATTCCAAATTTTATTTTTATTCGACTTTGTTTAATATGATAATTATCTTATTATTGTCGTTAAGTGTACTAAACGTGTGATGTACCGTATAATCCAAGTTGTTATAATCCAAATCGCTAAGTATGTATTAGAGTCAATAACCAGAACACCGCAACCATACAATTAAAAAAACAATATGTCATTAAAACATGTCACGTATCGTACGATTAGAAAGCATTTCAACGATTGAATGATAAATAGTTCTGTATTGTCAGGGATAAAAGATTTGCAACGTCGGATAAAGTCGATTTCTAAGCTGGTCCGCGCAGGAATATTTTATGATGCAACTATTTAATAAATGGTTTAATTAAATATATTAATATTTTATTATGTAATTCTCAAAAGTCGGCCATCAAAGGCAAACCCAAGTTAGCCGGCTTATCGAGACTGACTTGGTTCGTGGATTTTCGCATCGATAGATAAAAATCGGTCTAATATTTCCTAATACGCTACAAGTAGGCAATACTGTCACTCACACATTTTTTTGTTCCATCAACCACTCTTTTGGATAATGTCCTTCTTGGTTATAAAGGTCAGAAAAAGAGCCGTCTTATCACAGTTGTTAAACACGTTCTCCAACTCAAAATTTCACCAATTGTTTACCGTACGGTGTAGTAAATATTTGTCTTCATCATTTGATGCACGATCTAACCGATGATATTTATTTTCATTCAAATCAATATTTGCACTAAACTCTTCTGTTACCTTTCTGGTAAGCTTTCTATTTCCGGAATTTCTGTGTGACCATTTTATACTGTTATGCGTGTATTCATATTGATAAGCAAAGTAACAAATGTGCCACACAGTATTTTGTTAAACCATGATTTTCTTTGATAAAAGTAAATAATAAAATAGTGATATGAATAAAGTGGAGTTAAAGTAATAATATTAGTAAATAACAGTCGAAAAAAAACAAATACACATTGAAATCGAGAAATGAACAATTGTCACGCAATTTTCATATTAAAGTCATCGAGTTAACTAAAAATTTGTTTGTTGATTATTTTTGCTAAATGTATCCAAGTTCGGTAATAATTTCAGTGATTGCTTTGTAATTGTAATATACCTATTGTCCAAATTTCGCCAACATTACCAAAAATTGGAACGAAGTTTATTTTGATTTTCCCATAAGAAGTAATCGGCAACTTCTTTATAATCGTGCGTCGTCATAAATTGTGACACGTTGATTTGGTTTGTAGGTTTCTATTTTGGACAATCAATTTTTTGCGTTAAAGCCATATGGACTTTCTTGGAATGCTATTGAAATTCCTTGCTTAAACGGATATGCCATACTGCAGTCATTCAGGAATATGAACGCTTGGAACAAAAATCCAGAAATTACCACTTATTTTCCGATATCATAATCGACCACAGTAATATTTTACCTTCTCCTAATTCGACGTACTACAATTTTTTAACAACAATTTCCTTATTTTTCTAATTCACTTGATCAATTACGTCAAGAAAACCGTTCCGTGGGCGTTACAATAGAACATTGTATATTTATACAACACATAAAGCAGTGTGACATTCTCATTAACGGACTAACCACAAATACATCATCGGATTACCTAATTTCTTTCCATGCTATATTAATATCCTGTTTAGCAGTAAACAGTAGTGTAACCAAACAGCACTATAATAAAAGATTTAGTACGTAGTACCCCATCAAGGTTGAAAATACAAAACAATAAATACGTCATAACGCTTTTCATCTATTATTGTAGCATAACGATATAAGTCGATCCAATTAACACACGCCATATTTTATTCTAGATGAAAATTACGATGCCAGCATACGATTTAATCAATAATGTATATCTCACTCAAATCACAATTACGCATTATAGAATTACCGCTAATAGGCGCTAGTACAATTAATACGTCACATATCGTTATAAATACAAATAAATACGGCCATTTATAGCATCAGAGAGATACAGTTAAAAACTCACACATTATATAGCCGTAAAGGTTTATCATACATATGGAAACATCTAATCTATCTTCCCTGTAAGCATAAGCGATGTTCACGTACGGTTTAAAATAGAAAAAAAACGGTACTTAAAGCGAATGGCGTATTTTTTAACTTCATCAAGGAGTCAGTTCGTGTTTACATCACCAAAAAGAAAATTCTGATTGGCTCACAACGACTACGTTTGCCTCAGATGACATACTAGAAATTGCCGAGGCGGCAACTAATCTCAATGACGGGCTAATAATGCGTATTCAAAGTTCAGTAAACCAACGATATTGCGATTTCAGCAAATTTATAAAAAATTATACTAAACTTCGAAATAATCTCCGCCAACTTCTATACAATTTTGTGATATACCGCTTTTGGGTTTCACAATTGCCTGAGTCGCTCGTGCCAAGTTTTCAATGCCGTTAGAAATGTCTCCAACTTTCTCTGATCTTTGAAAGAGAAAAAAGTCTCATGGTGCCAAGTCCTGACTAGAACCTGTGGAGTGGAATTGTCATGATGGGGCATGACATTGCGCACCGTTTTCCTTCCCTCAAGACATTTAAATTCCGAAACACATTGGGCAAAACTTTCGTAGAGTAAAACTTGCCATTTACACTTTCCCCCCCTCAGGCACTACCTTTTGGCTATAACACCGTCTATAGAGTAAAACATACTCTTTTGACTGTGTTTTGCCGTTCAAATAATTGTTGGCCGATTTCCATATCTTATTTCTCTCTTTCCTGAAACAGTGTAAAAGTAAATCCACATTTCATTACCAATTATAATATTGTTAAAATCCTGGTCAAGAACGGCTAGAATTCATCCTCCGTTTTTTTTGTGTTCTTCTATGAAATCGGCTTAGCTGTCATCCTCCTCATTTCAAGTTCATTATGCAGAATGTTGAAATTGTGCTATTATTAGCAAGTGCTCTGATGGCTGCATGAGGGGGGGGGGGGGGGGGTTTAACATTCTGGTTAGTGACACCTCCTGAGAAAAGTTTTCTTTTCCTTCTTTAACGTGTTTTAACCATCATCTAATTGTACGTTCAGATGGGGTTTGTCTCCATAAGCATTTCACTAACGCATTGTAAATTTCTGACATGGTTTATTGTTTAAAAATCAAAGATCGATAAGCTTCACGAGAGAAATATGCCACTATTTTTTAGTACTTTTTTTTAAGTCGCGATTTCTCTACGACCATCAATGCAATTTTACTTGAACTTAATGTTTTGTAAACAGATGTTACGTGGTCAAAAATCATCGAACGGCTCACGTGTTCAAATGCCATGTCTTCGCAAAACTTAATGCTATACGCTACGCTCGCTCGTACAAGCCATTGAAAGCATAAAGTCTAACGCAAACGTTTCATAACATGACTAATTTTAGCGTGAAGGCCCTCAATACGTTTCGGGAAATGGCTCTGGCACAAAATTGGCTGGCTTTGATATTAATCGTTCTCCACAGCAAAGAAAAATCTATACAAACGAACAAAAAAAGCTAAGCTAGGATTCAAGGTCTCTATCGTAGAGGAGTTGGATGTATACGACTATATATTATAAACAGAGTTACATACTTGGATACATGTCAAATTCCACTCTACAGGCATCATCCACAACTCCACATCCTCCTCAGCGTTCACATACCCGCATTCCTATTATGCAGCAGCAGCTCATTGGACGAATTTACCAATACAAAGAAGCTTATCTAAAAAGTTCAACTATCGATAGTGATAGCAAAGAAACGAAACAAAAGATTTCCTCATCGAATCCTACCGACCTTTGATTCTGCCAAAAAAAGCACAGTCAATCAACCAGGTCAAACCAACTCTCTTGTCAACCACACAAAAGGCAACTACGATTATCCAAAAAAATGTCACTACAAAAGTTCGAAGACCTCAGCCAGCATTCATTCACTACAGCTAAAACGGAAGAATAACGAATTATT